TAAAAACATACATGATGATTGAATGCATAAAAGTAAAAGTTCGTATTCTACTTTTTTTATGTGTGTGTTTCAGACTAATTTATGAGTTTGTTACAAATCAGACTTTGCGTTTTGCTGGAGCTGAAGGTTCCCAAACCAATCCAGATGAATTAGCTGAAAATTGTTTTTATCTGAATGTTAAATTGATTTGAAAGACAGTATTAACCTAAAAGTGAAGCTTGCTGAATAGCTAACCAGCAATTTTATCAGTAACTAATAACAAAGAATATAGAAAAGTATGTTGTGCTATAACGTTAAAGTGGATATTAGCATGCTATCTGATTTCATGACAATTACAGAGTTTAATTCAAAACATGTATAAAACTGGAAAACAATCTTTTTTTCAAAGACAGCTGTTATTTCCTGTCCAAATGGTTCGTTTAATGGGAAATTTGCATTTGAATCACAGTATGTCAGAAAGACATATTGTGGACCATAATTTTATTTTGAGTAAATATTGCCAGGTTACTTTGCCAAGTTCAGGTAGATGCTGCATGTTCTAAGCAACATATGGTTGTGAATAAAGGAAAGAAACTTTTAACAGGAAGGTGTTAAGATTTTGAGTCTGAAAAGCAATACAGTATTTAGATTTTAAAATTTTGCAAATTACTGTATTATCCGTAATTATAGGGAATAAAATCAGAGGGGAATGATTTCTGTTTCTTGGGTAAACCATAATTATCTCCAAATTATTTCCTTGATAACCTTTTTACCAATGAAAAGGAAAATTGTGTTTGCTGGATGATCAGCGTTTAGCTACTATACTTGATATCAGGAGCAGAACATTGAACACAGAGGTCAGAGTTCAGCTTGACAGAGAACCATTCAGCTTTGCTTTGGAATTCTCTAAATACTGTCTGCAAGAACAATAACTAAATTATAAGTGACTTCTGGGAAACTCCAGTTCAAATATTCATTACCAATTTTGTGTTGAATTGTTAGTAATTAATTATATAAGTTTTTATTTTTGTTTGTAGGAACCAGAATTGGAAGACTCCGCTGTTAATACAACATTGCTGGTGCACTTCTTTGGAAGAGCAGGAAAGGAGAAGCTTCGCTATTCTGAGTTTTGCAGGTAGTGTACAAATACTAGTTGTCATTCATTGATAGTAGTCATTCTTATAAGTTCCATGTTTGAGTAGTGATGAGTTTGTTCCTGTTTGGTCAAACTCATATCAGCCAATGCACATCAATCTGAAGAAAAATGAGGGTTTTTCTACGCAGTGCAGCAAAGCATGATTTGTAAAGTACACTAACAAGCTGCACTCTAATTCCCCTGTGTAGACCTTGTAGACACGATCTAAAAGGTACCTAGTTTGCATTCTGTTTCAAGGGCTATGTTAACACAAACTAGGTACCTTTTAGAGCACACCAGCAGGATCTACATGAGGCAGTTAGAGCATAAGATGATCAAGTACTTTCCAAATCACCCCCCTCCAGTGCACTTTGCTGGCGCTTTGTAGACAAGCCCTGAGAAATTTTGCCTTCCACTGCCACAGTTGCTCTCCCTACTCTCCAGAATAATTTAAATAGTACATTTAAATAGTATGTTTTGTCCCAAAGAATTAGACGGAGCTTTACGAACTTTACATATAGAGGAATCATGTCACCAATTGAAATGTTCTTGCAGTGGAACCATGCAGCTGCCTAACAGTGATTCAGCACAGTATACAATTTTAGGACAGGAAGCGAAGAACACCATATCCATTTGAAACTGCAATGGAATATTGTGAAACATTACTCTCTGAAATGTGTGGCTTCGTATCTTTCAATGTGCAAAATATTTTATTCTCTTATGTCACAAAGAATCTCTTTACCATTCTGACCCTGAAAGCCAGAAATTAATGAAAAAAGCTGTAAGAATAATATAAGTCAATCATTCTGTTTATAAAGCACTAGCACAAAATAAGGATTGTAATTATTTAACTAGAGACTCCATTACTTATTGCTATGATGTGCCATTGTTACTAATTGTGTGTGTACGTATGTGTATGCACCCCCTAATCTGTGATGACTGACATACTGGTCATAGCAAATGTTACAAGGCCAAAACAGTCCTTTCTTTGTATGGGGAATGAGGAGACTCCTCACTTGGGCTGTCAAGTGAAGAGCCTCCATAATTTGATCTGGTAATGCCAACAAAATGTAATGGACTCATCTCTCAGTCTTGTAACTTCACCTGTGACCACTACAGATACCCAAAATGGGCTGAAACATCATAGTCACGTTGTGATGTCAGAAAGATGCTCAAGTACACCTCTACCCCGATATAATGCGACCCGATATAACACGAATTCGGATATAACGCAGTAAAGCAGTGCTCGGGGGTGGGGGGGCTGCACACTCCGGTGGATCAAAGCAAGTTTGATATAACGCGGTTTCACCTATAAAGCAGTAAGATTTTTTGGCTCCTGAGGACAGTGTTATATCAAGGTAGAGGTGTAGATCTTAATGCAGAATCTCTCTTGCCTTGTCCCCTCTCAACTTGACAGCCCAGCAGCATGTGTGACTGGAAGAAATAATCAGAGCTTAAAACATCAACATAGCTTCTTGTGTGTACCCGCAATCCCCAGCTCTTTCTGAGTTTTAAAGAAATAACCAGTTAAAACCTCTATTACTGTGGAATATAAATGTCCTGATTTGATGCTAATTGCTGAAGCCACATTTGCATGTATACTGTTGAGCACCAAGTTTTTACATCACAACAACTTATGTGCTTTCACACCTAAAAGGGGACAAGATTATTTTCACTAATGTTCCATTTTCTTCAAAGCTAATAGGCAGTTCATAAACTGCTAAAAAAGTAGCAGCATAAAATGGATAGTCTGATTTATGTCCAGCTGCAATGGAGTCAGTCAGCCCTGAACTTAGTAAAAGATGTTGCAATCAGTTGAGGTTTAGGAAAAGCGAGAACAAAAAAGGGGAGAGTGGCATTTCTCCTAACACTATAAAGTGTTTCTACTCCGCTGACTGAGACACATATCAGTCTTCAAATAAATAAACTTCTCTCTTTTGAAGCTCTTGACTCAATAGAAGCTAAATGAGTAAAATAAGTTTAGCATGTCTGCAGCTACCTTCTTTATAAATACAGTAGGCCCTCTTAACGAAACAAAGGACAGAGAGCACCAGTAAAAGGTTGTGTTTGCATATGTAGTATAAACTGGAATGCCTCATGTTTTAGATAAAATCCTGCATTGACCCAATGAGGAATGACATTGATAAAACTATGTACCTAGTACATTCAGAAAATGTAGGTTAAAGACCTTTGCCTACCACACAAATAGAGGCCTGTAATCAAAATCAAACTCCCACATCTTGCTCTTAAGCTTTGTGGGATAAGTGTAAGGTTTAATGCAGGTAATTTTTCAACAGTGGCAGTTATTTTTCATAGAGGTGGAATGTGCCTCTTTATCACTGCATATACACTCCATTTACGTTGCCACATGACAGTGAAGTTTGTTTAACACATAGAAAGATGAATAAAAGGATCAGTGTCTTTTTAACCTGTGTGGAGATATCACTTTTCACATGATTTTATTTGCAAGTAAATCAAGCACATCATTTCTGAGTTCCTATTGTTCAAGGAAAATGTGATTTCTATCTGATGGCCTCTCACAACATTTTACCTCACACGGGAAGCTATTGTTAGCTGTTTGATCAAAGTGTCATGCTGTTTTTACAAGACATGACTGATGAGCTATACAGACATAGATCATTGTCAAAAGGAAAAAATAATGATGGTAAATGCTTTTATCATTTTCCAAGTTGTTGCTAGAAAGTCTTTTCACTGATCAGTGCAGCACCTAGAAAAAGTAGGAATGATTAGATTTGATTAAGACACATTAAAACCTGTAACACCAGTTATATATAAAATAATCCATGTGCTTTAGATTTCTCAAAAATAAAAGAGGGAATATGGTGGAATCCTGTTTATCTGATCTAATTGGGACCATGGCCAGATCGGATAATCAAAAAATAAGATAATCCGGAGAATGGGCGGGGCTCGGACTGTCCACCCTGGGAGTGTCAGCCCGAGCCCTGCTGTCCAGTTCGAGTATACAGAGAGCTGGATAATGGAAGCTCAATAAACAGGTTTCTACTGTACTTTCTTCATAAAATTTCACCCTGTTTACAGGCAGGGTCCTGGATCCAGTACCATTCAGTATTTTCATTAAATGACTTGGATAAAGGAGTGGAGAGCATGCTTATAAAATGTGTGGATGACATCAATCTGGGAGGGGTTGTAGCACTTTGGAGGCCAGGATTAGAATTCAAAATGACCTTGACAAATTGGAGAATTGGTCTGAAATCAACAAGATGAAATTCAATAAAGATAAGTGTAAAGTACTAGAAAAGAAAAATCAATTGCACAACTACAAAATGGGGCATAACTGGCTGGGTAATACCGACTGTACTGCAGAAAAGGATCTGGGTGTTATAGTAGATCACAAATTGAATACGAGTCTACAATGTGATGCAGTTGCAAAAAAGGCTAATCATAGTACTTATATCAAGAGGGTAGTTTACACTTGTTCAGAATTTTCCTCTGAGGATTTCAAAGTGCTTTTTATAGGCAGAGGTATTATCCTTCTTTTACAAGTAAGAAAACCAAAACATGGAAAGGCTACATAATAATTGTCCAGAGTGTGACAGTGAGTTAGTGACAGAAATGGGACTAGAACTCGGGTCTGACCCTGTCTATCTAGGTACTTCTATGGCCTCCTCATGGTAGAACCAGAGCACCTCCAAAGTATTTAATAACAGAGAAAACTATAACCATGTATCTCTCTTCCTTCTCAACCAGTAGGAGGAATGGCTTGATTTGTTTCTAGGGAGTTGTTTGTGAGTGTGAGTGAGTGGCTGTGGTTGTACTGAGAACTTGTTGAGGAAAAGCTAAATCAAAGAAGTAGGTTTTACATTTAGCTCTGAAACTGGTGAGCTCCATTATCATTCTTACCTGCAGTAGGAGTGAGTTCAATAGTGTAGGTCCAGCTCCTATGAAAAAGTGAAAATTCTGTGTCCAGCCCTTGTGAGACTCCCTTTACTCACTGATAGTTTCATGATTCTGGTAGAACTCAGCTGTTGTGGATGGTCGAGGGTGCAAAGGGAGAGGTGATCTCACTGGTAGCTCAGGACAGTCCCATAAAGCAGAGAGGTCTTTGAACGTTAGCAATTCCTGAACTGGACTCGGTGTTCTATGGGGAGTCAGTGCAGAGTGGAACACCAAGGTGATGTGTCCATGGTAACCTTTGTTGCTAGGTTAAGAGGGCAGCAGCCTTTGTATCAGTTGGTCCTTTTTCAGGAGATGAGACTTCATTCCTAGATAGGAGTCTTGTAACTGCTAGACAGTGCTGCCTTAGAATGTCGGTGTTGTACAAACATTCTGAAGTACAGAAACAAAATTTAGGAAGGAAAACTTTCCCTAATTTTTCCTTTGTGTTTCATTTTGCTACTTTGTTTACCATAAGGAAAGTACAAAGCTAGCATTGTATTTCAAAATCCCAGGTTGGTGGGTGAATCTCTGAAGCCCTGAGGTTCCCCTAGTTTCACTTTACTTTCACTTCCATTTAAAAGTGAGTTACCAAGGATTTTTAGGCACTCTATCTTTCTATGTAGGTGACAAGTACCTTGCAAAATGGGTCCCAGTCCTGACTGGGGATTCTGGATGCTACCATATCTCAAATAATTAATAACAAATTTGGCTGTTGGTCTTAAACATGTGCATTTTGAAGAATATGGATAACAAGCTAGATGAAATAAAGTACTGTCTTCTCCCTGCCTCCTTCCCTCTTGTAAATTATTGATTTCTCTTATACATTTTTTAAACTCTGCCCTTGATTCTGATTACTTTTACACAACTGTAACAGAAATTTCCTTGACTGCAGTGGATTAATCTGGATTTACACTGAGTATCTGAGGTCAGAATCTTGCACTCTATTCCTATGGTGAAATCCTGGCCCTACTGAAGTCAATGGCAAAGCTCCCATTGATTTCAGTGGAGCTAGGATTTCACCCCTAAAGTTTATTTTGTCCCTTCCTAATGTTTTCTCAAAACTAAGCACTGTTTAGGGGATCTTAACTCTCTCTAGCTGTGAATCATTATTTTGAACAAATTTCTATGTACCTGTTTTTCTAGCAGGTACATAGAAAAACACCCGCAATCAAGTGTCTTAGTCATATAAATGTGATCAAGCTACCAAGATTTCCTTCCTAGCTAGATACTTTTCAAAAAGTGTTACTAAAAAATAAAAAAAACTCATTAGGCTTTTTAGCTCTCACATCTGGTAATAAAAATGCCCTGATGTGATGAGTCATACACTGGTAACTCAAAATATGGGGAAATATCACATCTGAATTTTAAATTGCATTGTTCAGCTGCTGCTCTGAGAAATATTTGGTACTGCATGAAATCTTCCCACTCCAGCACGTCAAGAGTAAACCTACTAGCTTGAAATGCAATACTTACTGAATTCCTTACATCTAAATAGATAATCCACCCCATTTGGGGGGGGGGGGGAGTGGTTGGCTGGCCCCGCTGCAGGAAGAATGCTCTGTCCTCAAAGGGAGGTGGAGGGGAGAGAGCCCATGCCTGAGAGAAAGTTTTATATAACAAATTATTGTAACAATTCATAGACCTTTACTCTCTTTTAACCAATTCAGCTTGCAATTAAAGTAAATTTGTACACCCAAGTATCACAACCACATCTCCAGCTCCGTGGGTCAGGAGGGATGCTGCCACTGCGAGAAGGAGGGGAGCACATGCCTGAAAATGCCAGACTCCCCCTTCTCCTCAGATTCACGGCGTCCTGTTGGCTGGCTGAGGTTGAGTGGGAGCTGATTGGCCCCTGTGCTCCCCCAACAATTTAAACTTTTCCCTGGGCTCCTTGCCTCTTTGCCTACCCTGCCCTCCTCTCTTTAGTTGTAGATAGCAAGCTGTATTTCCAGGATACCGTGGACCTGACTGGTTGCCTGTGTTTTGGGATAAGAAAATAATTTTTTCCCGTTGGCAAAATTGATAGAGGTCTGGTGGATGTTTTGCCCTCCTCACAGCAAATTGTGGAAGCACAGCTGAGGTAAAGAAGAATAGGATTTGGAGGTCTAATTTTAAAAGCTATTATAGGAATGTGTAGTTTGTCACAACTTGCAGCCTGTATCTAGTGCAGATAAGAGCTAAAAGGGCCAGCTCCCAGAGATAAATGAGACCCAGGATTTTTGCTGGTGAATCTTGTGCCTCTGGGGAGAAGGGAGACCTGAAGTCTTCGCAGACTGAGGTCCCCACTTGAATACTCTCTATTCCCCCTCAAGGGTGGGAGAGCTAGAGGACTCAGAACAAGCTGCGTCCTGGGGTCTACCCCATGTTATTGCTTATATGGTGGGAGACCTCTAACTCCACACTGGAGCCAGTTAAATGATATGTGAGATGGGCTGAATATATACCACCCCACCCAGTGTTGAGTTGATGAAGTTGTAGCCTACTGCTTAAAATCCATTCCAGTGTCTGTCTTTCTTTCACCGGCATGTCCTGAGCAATGAAGCATTATTCATGCACCCTCTTGCTTATGCAGCACTAATTATGTGGAGGAAAATACAAGAGAGAGCTTATGTTGCAAAGGCAATCTTGACATATCCCCCTACAGACAACACAGAGCTCCAAGCTGCTAATTGTCCAAGTGATCTCATTAAAAGAACTAAAGATAGCTCTACTGACTAAAATGCCTTAGATTCAAGAAAGAATTCAAATACAATGAGGCCATGCAAACACTGATAAGCAAAGGAGCCTCTACCAGTATTTGCTGCACAGTCACTTTCCTTGCTACTCTAGTCTCCAAGTAATTACTTTGTCCTAGTATAAATGTATTTATTTCAGCCTCTCTATAGTTATTGCAACTCAATAAAACCAAGTTCTTGTTAGAACCTGTGGACATTGAGAAGAAAGCACAGGGAGAGACAAATTGTTGGGAATAAGTGCCCTTTTATCTTATATTTCCAATAAAAATGTAACTACTTAGGGATGTGGGCAACAGAAATAAAATGACAATTAACAAAATAGGAAAGAAAAGATATTTGGAAATTCTGTTAAGTGTGTGACAGCTCCCCAGATTCCTAGATTTTAAGGCCAGAAATGAACCCTCCCCACCCCCCCTCCTGTGATTATCTCATCCAAAATAAGGAGACTCAAAGCCACATTTATATTTACAGTTGTAGTTTCTATTGCTGCCAATTGTAGCCTGTTTCATGGATCTTTTATGGTGGAAATAATCTCCTAAATCCCTTAATGTTCATGCCTTCCTACATCAGATTGTGCTCTTGTTTTTTGTCTTGCCACCTTCCCAAATAACTGTGACATCATATTTTCTGTAACTTTCAGCACTGTTTTCATGCCAATCATATTCCCTCTTAATCCATTTTCTAATAAATATTTACCTGATTTACCAAGCCTCTCATAACCTCTGAGGCCTTTAATTACCATTCCCCTGTGCTGCCCTGTATTGATGGTTTTAAGTTTCTTTTTTCTATCACCTTTTCATGATCAGGAATCTTGTGGCTTGACTGTTAGGGTATAATATCGTTAGCCATTGTCCAATTCTCTCATTCCTCAATTTTTAACATTAAATTGCATAAACCACATATTAGTCCATAACCTATATTTACCAGGTCAGTCCCTTTGCATGAAATTATCTTGTTACTGGCTGGCCATCACATAATCTTTATATATGCATACACACTTTGCTGCATATTCTCTTCTCTGGGTAATTGTTGTTCACTAGTGTAACACTGACTGCAACATCCATGAATGTACATAGACTTAGAGAGCACCCTAGTGGTATAATTACTGAAACCCAGCATTGAAACATTTACATGCACAGGTAAAACTGTATCTTTGACATATTAAACAGTTAACATGATTGTAATATTTATAGGTGGGTAGTTATAGATTTTAAAATGTTACTATTTCTTCTACTGAGTTGAGTAACTAGTTTAGTATTAATAGTACTAACTTGTGGTTATTTTATGTATTTCTTTACATTTAGATTTATGGAAAATTTACAAACAGAGGTGCAAGAAATGGAATTCATACAGTTTTCAAGGGGTCTGAACTTCATGAGAAAAGAGGACTTTGCAGAATGGTTATTGTATTTCACTGATGAGGAAAACAATGAAATTTACTGGCAAAATGTGAAAGAGAGAATCCAAGCAGGAGAGGTTGGTACATAGAATATATTATTTTTGTTTTGCTTTCTTATTTTAAGTTCAAGTGCAAGTTTCTAATTAGATAAGTATATACCAAAAATGTGGTTATTTTCAAATAGAGGAATTCTTGCAACCTTTCAGATTTAATTTTGCTATCCATAAACATGATGATCGTTTGATAACTAGAAAATAGAAATATTAAAGGTGATAACCACAGTAATATCTAAATACTAGAACTCTAAGGAAATAGACCTACTTGTTTCTGGATTTAGTATCTAACAAACCTAATTTGAATTATTTGGTACTCTAGAATATCAGCTTGGATGAATTCAAGACATTTTGCCAGTTTACAAATCGCTTAGAAGACTTTTCTATTGCCATGCAAATGTTTACTGTAGCTAATCGTCCTGTTAAATTGGGTAAGTAGTAGAAAGTATACTGCATAGAGATTGTGTGAATAAGTTATCTCAAACATTAGCATTGTCGACTCCAACAATTATAATATTAAAATTGTATTACAAATTAATTTAACTTGCACAAAGAATAGTAGCATTTATAACCACAAGTTGTTCAGATTTCTAAATTCTGATGTGTGTTGTAATATAGTATACACAGAATCACCCACAAGAGTTTGAACTTATTTAGTGATACCTAAGTGTATCTGACTGGGGTTGTGGGGCGGGGGGGGGGGGCACACTGGGGGTTACTCGGGGCAAAGTGCAAAGAATGGGGCAGACAATCCCCAAAGCTGGTGGATATTCCAATACTTAGATTTGCCAAGATAGCACAAAACAGCTTCTATATCTTATTGGTTACGCAGAAATCAAAACAAAGTTCCCTTAAAAGTAACTCATCCTTTGGGCTCCCTCCCAGACAGCTAAGTTAAATATGAAAGTTCTACCAATCCCAAAGGATCGGACACAATACCTCCCAAGTTAATGAATATTCCAGATCTTACCCAAATACACGCTACAGCCAATTCTTATTAACTTAATTAAAATTTATTAAAAAGAAAAGAGTGAGTATTGGTTAAAAGATCAGTATACATACAGACATGAGTACAGTTCTGAGATCAGTTTCGTAGTACAAATGGTGAGCTTTGGAGTTACAAGAGTTCTTAGAATTAGTCCGTAGATTCAGTCCAATGTTCATATCCAGGGTGATCCAGGTGGGACAAGAGATCTCAGTCTTAGGACTTAAGCTTCCCTTGCATAAAGCATCAAGCAGATCTGAGATAAAAAGGATCAGGACCCAAAGGTTTTTTTTATACAGTTCCAGGCCTTCTCTTGACAGCTTGGAGTCCTTAGGTGAACATTAGGCAATCATCCAGACTGAAGTAGACCTATTTCCTAAGCATCACCAGATTAACATAAGGCAGTTGCCTGTTTTCCACCATTTGCAGGTGATTTGCTATATACTTCAAAGAGAAATCAATACAGTGATATCACTATATTTATAGTTCATTTAAATGGTAAGATCTCCTTTTGATCTCTGAATTAAGAGAATACAGCATAGACACAAACTGTTCAATTACATTGTTAACCTCTGACAATATATATGTAAGCCAGAGCCAAATTAACTCTCCTGCGGGCCTGGGGCTATTAGATTTTTGGGGTCCCTGTATACAAGTCTTTTTTCCTGGAATGGGGCTGGGGCAGGGTATTGAGATGCAGGGCGGGTGCGGGGTCTGGGAGGGAGTTTGAGTACAGGAGGGGGATTCTCATCTGGGGCAGGGGTTGGGGTGGAGGAGAGGGTGCGAGGTGCAAGCTCCAGCCAGGCAGCGTGGGGCCAGAGCATGCAGGCAGCCTGTCTGTGATTTATTTTTGTAGGGTCCCCCTTGAGCTGGGGCCCTGGGTTGCAGCCCCTAAAGCCCCTGCCTTAATCCGGCCCTGATGTAAACACACACAAACACAAACATTATCTACCAATATGTCCCTAAAGGTTGAATTTGGGTCATTTATCCTGCAGGATACTTTTTTATTCCTGGTCGATTATCCCATTTCTTATTAAAAATTTCACTATTCATCTGTGCTAGCCTGCCATGGACTGACTGTTTCAGAGTAGTTTAGATAGAGCTTATGCTCTAATAAATTTGTTAGTCTCTAAGGTGCCACAAGTACTCCTGTTCTTTTTATGGACTGACTGTGTGGACTCTGCTGATGTGCATTAGCAGTTTGTTAAGGTGCTTTGATTCAGTCCTCTTTGAAATAGGAGTAATCAAAGTGCATTAATGAACTGTTAATTCACCTCAGCAGGGTGCATGCGGACAGTTACTCAGCGGCATGCTAGTACAGGGTAGATTAACACCCCAGCTTGCCCTAAACTAACTGTTTGTGTTGACAAACCCTTATTGGCTGAACTTAAGTTACTGCTTAAACCAACTAGTTTGTGTCACTG